AACGTAGTCCATTGCTTTATTGGCATCCAGGAACTCCTTGTTTTCCTCCTCATGAGAGATGCGGAGCCGTGCAGGAAAAAACAGGCCGAAGTGAACATCTTGTCGGTTGTGAAGAAGCCTCCTCACCTCCGTAAACGCCGCTCGAGCCTTGGCCACAGCTGCAGTGTAGACAGATGTGATGATAATCTGTGTCTCTTTAAAACGAAGAGGACCACGACTCCGAGCCCGACGCAGTATTTCCACACATTCTTGATAATAGTGCAGTTTAGCAACAATAACCCGCGGCTTAYCRSCTGACCTGTTTCCACCTGGAGAGCGATGGGCTCGGTCCACCAGTGGCTCTTTATCCATCTGTAGAACCTCTGCTAGCAGTTTAGCTACTGCTGAAGTGGAGCTGGATTCTGGTGTTTCAGGAACTCCAATAATCCTCACATTGTACCTTCTCATGTGCCCCTCCATATCGTCACACTTCTTTTTGAGCCCATCGACTTCTTCTTTCAATTCCAACACGTTTGTGCGCAGAGCAGCCACCTCATCGGACCAGGTCGACAAGCCGTCCTCCATCTCTTTAACGCTCTGTTTAACGTGGTCCAGATCTGTGCGCAGTAGCATCGTGCTGTTAGTCACCTCAGCTCTCACCGCTTGTAGCTCCCCTTTAATAAGCGTGAACTCTTCAGCCAAAACCGCTTTTATTTCGGATTTGATCACAGCTGAGAAATCGGTTTTTATAGCGGCAAGAATGTCAGACTTCTAGGAGAGCGCGTCTGCCTCGCTGCGAGAGGGAGAGGAGGGCGCCTAAAGTCTGGGTTTAGCTGCAGTTAGCTCCGAGGCGGCATCAAGCCTAACAGCCGTCGAGCTAGAATGTTTGGTTTTCCTCGAGTTTGTTGCCATTCTTCTACTCTTCCAGGCAAGAATCACTCAGGGGTCGAGTCCGGACGGACCAAATGTTCAAAACAGCAAGGACATTTAGTATAGAACCACAAACTGAACAAGTCGGAGCGGGAGCCCACGCGACACACGACTTACTCCTCCGCCATCTTGCCCCGCCTCCGACATTCAGATGATTCCGTTATTTAAATATAAAAATACCAAAACACCTTTGAAAGATAGTTTGACAAACAGGCATAAAAAAGGTAAAGAAGCAGAAACACAAATAAACAATACACAATTTTTATCAGTGACTTTATTAAAGAAACCAAAGAAGAGCACACTGGACTGTATGATGCAGCTCAGTTGGTGTTTTTTTGTTTACAGGTGTTTTCACATCTGTTTGGAGGGCACTTCTTCTTGCAGCTTCATTCACCATCATCATCACAACAGTGAGGAATGAACAGATGTTTTCCACAAAGTTTGTGCTAAACTGAAAAACAAAAAACAAAAACAAATATTTACAGTGCTCTGGATGTTGACCTGGTTTTAGCAAAAATCTGAGAGGTCCTGAGAGAGAGAGTGTAATTTCTGCAAAAAGCTTACGAACCAAAACTCAAACAAATGAGATGTGAGAATTGCCCATTTCAACTGTCCACTACTGAAGGTAGACTGTCTGTTTAGCAAAATATCTCATGAATAACTTAAAAGTTTAATGAAACGTTCAGAAATAAGTCACACTTAGTGAGATCTCTTGCCAAGGTTTTAAACTAAAACTCAATAAAATCTCGTAATTTTAGTCTGTAATGTTTGGATTAAGTCCTGTAATTTTAGGTTGACTCAGTAAATCTATAAGTTTTTATCATTTATTTTGGTTTTGTTTTACTGTAAATGTTATGTTGCATAAAATTATCTGTGCTTTCATTTATTGTTTATAATTTAGTAGTTACTGTACATGGTTTGCACAGAAGATGGTAGTGTAATGCCAGAGGCAGTAGGTGTGGTTACCTGGCCTTCAGGTAGAGCVAGGTTTAATTAGTGTCAGCAGCTGTTTGCCTCAGTGTTTGACAACCACAGAGATGCTTTTTTTCTATGGTTCAATCATCTTTTGTAAATTAATAGGAAAAATATGAATTTATTTTGTTTTGGTTTTACATTTTTCTGCTTAACAAGATTGTGTGCATAAATATTTGTCACATTAAAATTGAATTTAAATATGCAGATAAAATATTCACATGGCTTTAGTAGCAGGTTATTAAGTTGGAAAAAAAAGAGTCAAACTTATATTTTTTCATGCTATGATTTTTTGTTTATTTTAACCATTTTCTTGTTTTTGTTTTCATAAAAAAGATTCCCCTTTACTTTCAACAATAAATCCAAGCTTAATATAATTAAAAAATTGTTTTTGCTAAATAATACTTGGATTTTAGTAAAATTTGTGTCTCTTACTGAAAATAGGGTCAACGCAGCGCCAGTCATTTTCAGTTCCAAAGTACCGGTAACAGCATTTTTGTCCTTCGGGGCAGTCATCGTCATTGTTACACTCATCTCCATAATCGGCCCTATTTTTTGGGCACAGCCCTGGTTTTAGAGAAAAGTGGGCTTAACGTTATTCAATTTATCACATTTCTACATTGGTTAAACAAACAAAAATAAAAAAAACAACTTGAAAACCATGGAAGAAGATAAATCCACTTTACCAGATGTTGCCTGTATGGAGGGCAGAAACAGACAAGCTGCTATAAGCAGAACAGCTACAGTAGAGCAGAGCTTCATGTTGATTTCTCACAATCAGAAATGAGCTCAGAACTCTTGTTTGGATGAAGATCCTGGAAAAGAAGCTGCAGTCTGAACAGCACAGAGGATGCTGGGTCCTTGTGTCTGCACAAGAACATATATGGTCCCAACAGACACGCCTGCATTCTTCACCAGCTTTGTGGAATCCTGTTTTAGAAATTCTTTTAGTTACCAGAGGGTAAAGGTCAAATCTTTTCAGCTATCTGGGATTTTTTTTTTGTTCTGTTGTGATTATTGTGTTTTTGCAATGTTGTCAACAATGTTTTAAACTGTTTTAATAAATCAATCAAAAAAGTTAGCTCCATGCATCCAATGCATTTGACCACTAATAAACAAACCATTGGTAACATGTAAAGACCTTTCTGAAAGGTTTACATGACACAAACTATAATAATTTGAAGAACTGTGGTCACTAGGCTGCTAGGAATTCATCCATCCATGTTTATTACTGATTTTCCATGTTAGGTTGATAAAACTGGTGACTGAATAAAAACCTGTGACTCTCTATCTGGAAGACAACAGCTTGGATCACTGCTTTACTAAGAATGTTAAAACTAATTGTTGCTGTTGAATAAAGAAAAATAATAATAGATTTGTAAAACTTGTTTTTTAATTAAAACCCACTGAGTGGTTAATGAGACATTTTGACCTGTACATCAGTTCCAGCAAAAACTAATTATTGAACAGGTTTTTTTAACCTTCTGAGGTCAGAAATTTCCACTGAGTCATGTCCTCAGGTGAGGCCTCAGAGGGAGGATTTGTGGCACCAGACAAAACAAAAGGAAACATTGTTGATCTTTAAATTCTAAGAAAACAATTGAGTTTTCAAGCAGCAATCACAATAGAAGATATGTGATGAGATAAATAACGATGAGTTGAAAAGTTCAACAGTTCAGATAGACGAGTGTAGGGAAGGAGTTGTGTGACCAGTGGGTTGCTGGTTCAAACCCACATCGGTCTTAGTTCTTGGGATGATGAACACTGCACCTCCTTGCCTGTTGATGGTCATTGGGTTTCAGTGGAGTCGGTGCATAGCAGCTTCACTTCTGTCAGTCTGACTCTGGGCAGCTGTGGCTACAAGGTAGCTTACAACCTTTTGAATGACTGTAATGTAAAATGATTTGGAGTCCTTGGGCCTGATAACACATCATATAAGTTCGAGCTATTTACCATTTGTTTTGCTCAATGTTAAGAAACTGCAATTAGTATTTTCTGG